AAAACAATTATAAGAAAGTATGGCTTTAGCATATGTCAAACCTTGAGAGCAATCCATGCAAGTTTTCTTTTGTTAGCAATTGATTTCTCAACCAACATCATACTTGCTGAAATAGAACTATATATATAAAAAAGGTTTTAGCATTCCTTTATATAATAAAGAAAGTCCAAACATTGAGGTTCTTACCAATCAACTGCTTGTCTGAGATGTTTGGGACGAGACTTGTGCAATGAGTACATAAATAACAAGTAGCTGCCAGTGGCACATGAAATTCATAATAACTTAATTATTATTTATTAAAATCACATATGGAACTTTATTATGTTAACAAAGTTCACTTACCCAGATATATAAGGAATAAAAAGTATGTTCTTCCTACTTGCAAATATTCTTGTGAGATATGTTGTGATCTCATCAAAATCATTTGTTTCGTGAATGACATGGGGATCAATGAACCCATATACATCATTCTACCCCAAGTTGTTACTGACACCAAACGTTTGAACAATGGAACAAAAAACTTGGTATAATCAACCTCCCATATCTCTTCTATTATACCATAATATCTCATTGATCCAAGTACATGAGATTGATCTTTTGATGTAGAAAATTGAAGCGACTTAGCTTCTAAACTAACTCCACTATTTTGTACTGTGCTTTTATAATCCAAAGTTTTCGTATAGAATGTGCAATTATTGACTTCATAACTTGTACAACGTACGACATCAAACTTTAAACCATTTGCAAGCCACAACAACGTCTGAGAAGAATGTGGCTCTTTGTCAATTTCATATTTGAACCAATTCTTTGATTGTCTTGGATTTTTATTCTTCACAATGGCTTTGTGTGCTTGCAAAAAAGGGATCACCTCATCTGTGTTGTTCAATATATGAAGATGTGCTTGCAACAATTCTTCGCGATCCTTTGTCACTACATTCACACCTCGGATGCTTTTACTTGTAGAACTTTTATTCATCCATGATGTGCGAGGAACTCCTATTGGATTTGCTGATGTCATGTAGTCTGAACAAAACTCGATACTTTCTTCAGCAATATACCTTTCAATCATTGAACCTTCGGCACGATATGGATTTTTAACGTACCCTTTCAAAATCTTCATATAACGCTCAATAGGATACATCCATCTTAAGTATACTGGTCTGCACAACTTGATTTCTCTAACCAAATGAACAAGTCAATGTACCATGATGTCAAAAAAAGATGGAGGGAAAAACATCTCTAGTTGACACAAGATGATAACAATCTCGCCTTGAAGTTCATCTAATTTTGTAGGATCAATGGTTTTACTACAAATTGATGAGAAAAATGAACACAAACTGTTTATGGTCTGCCTAACATTTTTGGGCAAAATTCCACGAATAGTCATCTGTAACAATTGTTGCATTAAGACATGACAATTGTGAGACTTCATGCCAACAAGCTTTAAGTCCTGCATCGACACTAAACTCTTCATATTTGAAGAGTATCCTTGTGGTACTTTGATACTCTTTAAACAAAGGCAAAAAATTATCTTTTCTTGTCTAGACATTGTGTAACATGCATGAGACAAATAAGTACGTTTACCAATCTCCCTGGGTGCCAACTCTTCTCGGATATTCATGTCAACCAAATCCAAACGAGCATTCACTCCATCTTTTGTCTTTCCCTGAATGTTGAGTAGTGTACCAATCAAGCTATCACACACATTCTTTTCTACATGCATCACATCTATGCAATGTCTAACATCTAGTTTTGACCAGTATGGAAGATCAAAGAATATTGATTTCTTCTTCCAAGGGGTCGTTAAAGATGACTTCTTGGATGATTTTCCAAATATATGATGTATTTTATTAACTTTTTCAATAATTTGAAGGCTAGTAGTGGATTTAGTGCTTCGTCCCTCTCCGATGATGCAGATACACCGTCTTTCTTCCGTGTTTCAATTGATGAGCTGTAGTGTTTTCTTCACATATAGGACATGCTTTATGACCCTTGACACCGTATCCTGACAAATTACCATAAGCTGGAAAGTCATTAATGGTGCAAAATAACATTGCACACATCACAATAGTTTCAGAAGCGAATGCATCAAATATTTCAAGCCCATCCACCCAGAACAACTTCAAGTCTTCAACTAGTGGTCTTAGATAAACATCTATGTCATTTCTAGGCTGCTTTGGACCAGATATAATCATAGACAACATCATGTACTTCCTCTTCATGCACAATGCAGGAGATAAGTTGTAAATTATCAATATAACTGGCCAACAACTGTGATTGGTACTTAGATTACCAAATGAGTTCATTCCATTAGTGGCTAAACCAAGCCTAAGATTTCTAACTCTTTACCAAATTAGGGGAATTGTTGATCAATATTTTTCCATTTCTTTGAATCAGTTGGATGATGAAGCAACACGTCAATTTTTCTCTCATCTGCATGTCATCTAAGGTTTTTAGCATCTTTTGGATTTGCAAACAAACGCTTAAGTCTGGGCATAATTGGAAGGTATCAAACAACTTTCAAAGCAGATCCATTTTTTCTATCTGACCATTATCTTCACTATTGTTTTTTGACTTGTATCGTGATAGCCCACATTTTGGACACTTTGTCAAAAATTCAAACTCTTTCCTATATAAAATGCAGTCATTGGGACAAACATGTATCCTTTTATACTCCATACCCATCAGACAAAGAATTTTCTTCGCATCATAATTACGAGTGGGTAGTGTATTTCCATCTGGCAGCATTTCATTCAACAACATCAACAATTATGTGAAACTCTTATCAGTCCATCCATTAGTCGCCTTCAAATTCATGAGCCTTAACACTGTTGACAAACGTGTGAACTTAGTTGAACCGACATACAAAGGTGTTTCCGTATCAGTCGACATCGTCTCATATACATGAGCTTTGGCAAAATTTTCTGTGCCAACATCGCGAATCATGTCCTCTAATTTGTCTTCATCCGGTCGATCTTCTTCCATGGTGGAATCAATGACATTTTCAGTTTGGGAGTCAATCGGAAATTGCATTTCTTCGCCGTGCCATATCCATGTTGTATAGCATCTTAGAAAACCATCACAGATAAGATGTTCTCTAATTTGGGTTGCGTTCAGCTTTCTCGCATTCAAACAGTTCACAGAAGGACATCTAAACTTCACTTCATCATCACTTCTACCCTCATTACGTTGTGCAAATTGTATAAATTCCTCTACCCCTCTCTCGTACTTAGCACCAATGTGTGGTAAATTAATCCAATTTCGATCCATACGTAAATATTCTACAAAATTACAATCATAAAATTATACAATATATTCAACATACAATCAATTCAATCATACAATCAATTCAACTATACAATCAAACAATTAATAAACATTCAAATTATCAATTCAAGCATTCAATCATACATAATTATTCATATTCACCACAAAAAATTAAAAAATTAACAAAATGAAAATTAATAAACAGAATAATACAATCATACAATCAAACAATTAATAAGCATTCAAATTATCAATTCAAACATTCAATCATACAATATTATTCATATTCAACCTACAAAAAATTAAAAATGAACAAAATGAAAATTAATAAACAGAATAATACGAACCTGAGAGCGTGAAAAACCACACAATAAAGAAAAAACACAATACCTATAAAAAAATACAACAAAACGTAAGTTTGATAATCTGAATCAATAAAAAAACATATCAAACAAACCCAAAAACAAAAAAAAACGAAAAAACTCCGGCAACCAAAGCCAAATTTGATCGGATACAAACGTAGGTGATGAAAAATGATGAAGGAATTCCTTTTATAGTGACGGTGGCGTCGCAACAGTGGCGGAAGAACGAATGGAGGAAGATCGCGGCGGCAAGAACGTCGTTGTAGAGAAAATGGCTAGAGGGGACGAAACTGTTCGAGGAAGACGAAACTGTTCGAGGAAGGCGAAACTGTTCACTCTGTAATATTTTTTTCAACGTAATCAAATGTTACTACCGCGGTTCATTGGAAAATCGCAGGAATAGAGGGGATACAGCCTCAGTTCCCAACATAACCGAGACCTATTCTCTTAAAATAAAAATTTAAAATTGTTCTGAAATGGCAATTTTGAAATTTTTTCAACCTTTATGCCACGGTTCCCCGCCCAACCGAGGCCTATTGTCTTAAATATTTAAAATTTGTTCAGATCAGAGAATAGGTCGCGGTTCTGGGGGAACCACGGTCTATTCCCTGACGGTCTGATTTCAAATTTATTTCAGACTGACTTAGGTGGGAGTGTCAGAATTTTGCAGGGACAATAGACTGCGGGTCGCCCCAGAACCGAGGCCTATTCCCTGTGTCTGATTTCAAACTGACTTGGGTGGGATGTCAGAATTTTGCAGGGATTATAGGTCGCGGTTCCTTGGAGAATCGCGGCGTAAGGATGTATACGACTGCGGTTCTGTTGCAACCGAAACTTATACTGTCGATATAATTTCAAAAATGTCATCGCGCAATATTAAACTTCAGGTTCTGGTTAACCGATGCATAATGTACGCAGTAATAGATTAATTTTTTACTAATGAGACTCGCTGTGTAAATAAATTCGTATAGCGAATCACCTTGAAGAAATGCTCTCTGCGAAAGCATTCACAACGGATTATAAAATATCTTAAATTTTTACCTAAATAGAATATTCTTAATATTTCTTCCATATTAAGTTTTTCTAGAATATTATAGAATTGTATTATATTTCAATTCTTCTATCTATCTAAAGAGTTTATGCGGTCTTCTAAAATTTACATTATACTAATATGTTTCATAAGTATTCTTTATAGGACACGTGCAGACCAAGATTCGCGTGGCATTGACTACAGAGGATGGAGAACAGGACAGAGAAAGACAAGTGCTACAACACTTAGCAGGTTACGTGGTTTGAGCAGATGAATTGCATGCAAAGGTGTTGCCACGTAGCATGTGAGGGTGACATCTGGTGTTGTCGGTTGAGACATGTATAAAATACGTATGTAACACCCTAAAAGCATATCTTGAGAGTGAGAGAAAATGAGTGACAGAGGTGGAGATGCAGTGAGAGGGTTGGGAGCCTGTGATAACACCTGTGGCTGTACAGTTCCATGCCCTGGCGGTTCTTCTTGCAGGTCTCTTTCATAATCAAATAATTAACTTCCCTTTCAACCGCTTATCCAGTTTCAGCAAATTTGTTTCTGATATATAGTGTCTTCTGCTGCTGAAAGATCATTATACTGAGATATTCATCAGAAATTTTGACTCTGATCTTGAGATTTTGGATGATGCAGGTGCAGGAGTGCTGCCACTACAGCTGGAGGGGGTGACCACGTGACATGCACGTGTGGAGAGCACTGTGGATGCAATCCATGCTCATGTCCCAAAACTGCTGCTGCTGGAAGTGGATGCAGATGTGGTTCAGAATGTGCATGTGTCTCTTGCCGCAGTTAAATAACATCATAGTTTAAACCAGCTAGAATTAGCCCTAATATATGGTTTCTACTATTAGATATATCTACATAAGTAATAGGTGGTTGGCTACATAACTCGTGTATGTTAAGGTTTTTCCTTGTGCACGTGCTGCTATGTTATGCCCTGTTGTACTTGAAAACCATCAATCATATAAATAAAATAAGTATTAAGAGAAATGCATGTTGTGATAATGATGTCTTATAACTGAGAAACTCTTCTTTGTGTGAATTTAATGAAGTGCATGCACCAGTCCAGTAATGTTGTTTAGATTTGATCAAATATATATCAAGTTGTTTCGAACAACACTAAACAATGACTCTGACAGATGTAGAAATACTAGTCTTCTTGTTGAATCGTTTTGTTTTAAAATAAATCACTTGTTTCCTTTTAATTTTTAAGATAAAGTGATAATGGTGAACATGTATCATACTTTTTGCTCTAAAATGGGTCATAAGCTTATGTATAAAATCATGGTCATGATAGTAATTTTCATAAAAATAAAAATGTATATACTGAGGATTTATATAAACAATATTAATAAATTCTTATTTGTATAATGTTTTAGATTTATTGAGATAAAAGGAAATTGTAATATATATTATATAATTTAATATAATAATTTTTTAGAAGGTTTTAAAAAATTGGAGATATATATTTTAAGTATTATATTATATTAATAATAAAAGGTTAACGTTATTTGACAGAAGAATAACATGATTTAAAATAAAGGAGCAAATTGAATACTAAATTAAATATTATAAATGAATAAAAATTTAAATTTTTTAATTTGTTGTAAAATTAAACCTTTTTTACATCAATAAATATAATTACTAATTATAATTTGTTATTTTATTTCTCTGTTATTAAAGATTAAGATGAAATTTTTTTATTTTAGAAGTGCTACTTTTGAAAACTAGAATAAGGATAAAAAAATGTAAAAATAAATTAGAAAAATCATATTTTAGTGAATAAACTAAAACTGTGTTTTATTTAAAAAGTTAAGCCTTTCTAAATATTTATATTAATATTTATTGAACCGACAATAACATAATTGATTTAAAAACTAAGATTATTAGTTGTGAATGCTACTACTCGGTGACCGTAGTTTAAGTATATTATATAAGCCAGTGTTAAGTTATTTTTGTAATTTTGAAAATATGATAGTATTTTTGTAATTTTTTATGTTATATTTGTGGATATTTGAAGAAACTGTAACTAGTCTTTGATTACTGTTTTATATAAAATCTTAGCTTACATTCCCATAACAGAGATAATTTCAACATTTTTTATTTGTCCCATTGTTTCAATTTCTCTTGTTGCCTCTTGTTTTCTCTTTCGTTTTGTAAGTTCGAATTCGTTTTTTTTGTCATTCTACTCTATTAGTATGAATTATTATTAGAGTTGAGAATACCTGTTTTTTAACCCTCATATCTCAACATCATTCTACTTGTCGACAATCATACCATCACCACTAGTTTTGTTCACTACAAAAAACATTGACAATCATACCATCACTACTAGTTTTGTTTACTACAAAAAATATTGATATTGTCGACGGTTAAAATTCGTCAATAATATATAAAATTTGTCAATAATAATTTACTGATGGTCAAAAATTTATTGATAAAATTTTCACGATAAATTTTACCAACAAAATTTATGTTTCATCGTTAATTATTGAAATCTTTTTTTGTCGGTAAAATTCGTCGGTATTTACCGACGAAAAAATTCACTGGTAAACATCGCGATCTGGTTCCTCTTCTTTTCTTTTCCTCCTCTTCCTTTATTTTTTTCATTTTGACGAAATTTTCCACCGACAAAACATCACGTGAACAACCAATTTATTTCCAAAAGATTTAATAACAATTTATTTCCAAGATTCTTAAATCTAAGAAAGAAAGAGGCAAGGAAGAAAGATGTCGTTGGCGCCGATGTTCCTAATTGTACTATGCATCAACACCATAAGGGCTTGCCGAAAAAGCTAAAATGAGAACCTTGTTAGTTGTAGTTGTGGTGGTGGTAGGTTGTAGTGATGGTGGGTTATAGTGGTGACAACTTGCAGTGATGACGAGGAGTAATAATGACGAGACTCTAGGATGATGGATTATAGTGGTGGTAGGTTGTAGTGGTGACAGGGAGCAGTGGTGACCAAACTCTGGGTTGCAACAATGATGAATTGTAGTGGTTGCGATGAGACTCTAAGAAAATGAAAAATGCGCGTATATGAGAAGATGAATGCATGTATATAATTAAAATATAATTAAAGTCAAAATATATAAATTTAAAGTCAAAAAATATAATTAAAGTATTGTTTATAAAAAACATATTACACAAATTTAAAATTAAAATTAAAATACTTAAAACATATATTTCAATAATAAAAAATAAAATTTATAGAAATATTCTACCAACATGTATAATTTGAATTCGGAGCCGTTTGGGAACATAAAACAAACTTTTTTTATTTAAAATATATTTTTTTAATTTTTTATGCAAAGTTCTCATCTCATATTTTATTAGAAATATCATCTCCATTTTTAATAAAAAAAAGTTAAATTCTAACTTAGTTAATAATTATTGAAACACATGAAAACACTATAAAGGAGGAGAGGGGTCGAATAATGTTTTAAAGTTTTTTCACAAAAACAATGTCTAAAGACTTTTGCAAGAGTTAGACATTTTGCAATAGTTATTAGATGTTTATGTGGCTAAAAGGGCATTTTGGAAAACATTTATAAAGCAAAACAATAACACATAATTTTTATACTGGTTTGCTATAACATAAGCTACGTCTAGTTCTCCCTTAATATCTCTTAAAGGGTTCCACTAATCTTTAACAAAGATTACAATGAGTATCAATCACTCTTGGCTTACAACAAGTATTATCAACTACTCCTTCTTTCAACGAGTATTATCAATTACTCTTGGTATTGACGAGTATCAACCACTTCTGGTATTAATGAGTATCAACCATTCCTTGTATACAATGATTATTATCAACCACTCTTGGTTTCAACACTAGTCAACCTGACTAGATCATTTAGTTCACCTAAACTAAACAAACAAGTATTTTAATTCTCTTCTGAATTTACAAACACAATCAAGGTGTTTTTGAGTACAAGTACAAATTCAAATAACTCTCAAAGAGATGATAGATTAAATAAAATGAAATACGAAGACTTGAAAATACTTTCTCTTTCAAATGAAAGTGTTAGACGATGTAGAGAAACAACGTAACAACAAGCTTGTTTATATGCATGTATTCTCTATGTCTTCTTTTCATGCAATCATCTATATATAGCCTTCTTTGAAAGAGATTTGTTAGATAGAGAGTTTACTTCCATGTAGACTTCATAGCCTTTTAGGTATGTAGTCAGACTCTAGCCAAAATCAAGTCTTTTACTAAAGTAGCTTGTACGGTTTTGCATAGCTTGAAGCTTTAAGGAAACATTCCTGGAATATCTTTCTATCTCTTAACGTCTTTATCTTTCTTGTGTAGGAATTTGAGTTAAAGTCTTGTACTTTCATGATTTGCACAGATAAAGAGGACAAAATATACAAGCAACGAAACACTTTTTCCTACATGTAATAAATATTTTAAACGTTGATATTGTGTGTTTAAAACATATTGGCACATGTCAGCTCATTTGATAGAAGCATTGTTTAGGAAGCAAAGCGTCTGATATATGATCTTCAGATGGTATAAAATGTTAAACACTTACTTTATAAAATTGTTTGTAAGTTTTATTACGTCGTTTAATGACCTTTTCTTAGACGTTTCTTTTCTTTAAACGCTTATCTTTTTCAAATCAAACGCTTTTCTTTTTCAAATCTTTAAGGAGTTCTTGAATCTTGATATCAATAAACAAAGATAAATGAATCAACCAAGTAAAGACAAATGAAAGAAAGATCAAAGCACACTAAGATTTCTATTGGTTTAACTTTTGACAAGCCTACATTCAATCTTCTCCCAACAACCTGAGTTAAGAGGCAATCCACTAAATCAAATTTAAGTTCGAGAATACAATGAAACCCTCAAATTCTATCCTCACAACTCTCAAATCTGAATACAAAACAAACAAGAGAGAAATAACTCACTCTCCACCAATACAAGAGATGAAACACTGAATCTCTAACATGGCTAACCCAACACAAGTGTCATAATACTCAAATGAATGATAAACTTATTAGAACACACTCCAATAGTACAAATGTATCAGTCCAAATGAAATCCAATTGATCTTGAACGAATTCTTGATTTCTTGATCACCAAAGAAGCTTGAAATCCTCCAAGAACACTTCTTGAGAAAACCTATACTCAAAACTCAAAGAGAATGTTAGTATATGCCAATTAAAACGTTAAAGAATCAGGTCTCAAGTTTGGTTCATATAGAAAAACCAAATTTTGTCGCAGTTTAATCGATTATGTTAATAACGTAATCTATTAAGTTTTTCCTTTTGTTTTAATCGATTAATGTACTTATATAATCGATTATTTAGACATTATATTCTTATAACTGCCTCTTTCAACTAACCTAACAGATTAAGTTATTTGTATAATGGATTAGACCTTTCTTTCTGTTTTAATTGATTATAGAACTTGTATAATCGATTCTTTTTTCACTTAGCCTTGTTAGTCATCCATTTTCCTTTCTTAACAGATTATATTATCTGTATAACAAATGAAGTTTTCTCTCTGTTTTAATTGATTATGTATCTTATATAATCGATTATAATAGAGTGCTTTGCCCCTCTTTTGCCTTCTAAGTGTTATGGCTTAGTCTAACAGATCATATCACTTATGTAATCAATTGTTATTACAATAAACCTAGACTTTCAATCTGTTTAAGCCTATTTAAATAATCAAGAAATGATAAATACTTCTAGCGCTAACATGTTAATGATTTAAACACTTGTTATGCAATTTTGTTGTGCAAGAAAGATTAAATCCATTTCAAATCATTTAAAACCATTCATCATCAAAAACCAATATATGTAGAGACTAGGCTCCCCCTATCAACAACAAGTATTCACCTGCTCCATCATGAACTAGTCAGAAGTGGACGTTAAAAACAAAGAAGACATTCATGGAATTTTCTCTCCATCAAAAGTCGTGCAAAAGTGATCGTACAACCTACTTTGGATAAAGTATTGCAAAAAGCATGTCTAG